GGAAAGAAAGAGTGCCAATGAAAATCTGCTGTTGTCAAGGAAATTCTAGGGTGTTGTTTTAAATCTGACGACTACAAATAAGTATATAAAATGTAAATAAAGTATTTCAGTTGCATAGCCTTGCATCAAAACGCAAATTTGAACAAAGATATTTATTTATTACTATACCTTATAAAAATTAAATTCAACGAACATTTTAACACATCGCCAAGAAGGCTTAGAAAACTTTAAGCCCTTAAAACACAAGAGCACGGGCATCGTTCTCTTCTGACAGTCAGGTATAAATAACTATACAGGTTCTCTCGACGAAAGGATGCCATGTCGATCACCTTGTAAATCTCACATCCATAGCTCTGTAATGAAGAATCAAGGGCGCTGAATGTTCCTGAAACAAGAAAAAGCGATTGCAATTTTGAGAATCTTGTCACCATCACACCAAACGGTACCTTTGCGGCAATATACAACCATGAAACGACTGACTGCGTTGGCGTGACTCTTTTGGTCACACGCTCTGGTACAAAAAATGCCTTATTTCTAGGTACAAGCTGATTGATGTCAACACAATTATGTGAATGTGCTAGAGCACAGGTGAATAGAGGTACCAAACTTTGAGTTCTCCCAGACTCCCTCTAGTTATCATCATATGCAAGCACAGCAAGCTCATCTTTGTTGTGAACTTACAAGCCTGTTTCCACAAATGTTTCTAGCCCCTTCATCATTTGTATATACTTTTTTGTGGATGCATGAATGACATTGGCAATAACTTTGTTCACATGACACCACCAGCTCCTTTCCAAAAAAATACAATGACACGTACCAAAGGTTTAGCTTTATAGGCCTGCAATGTGTGCAAAAAGTCATTCTAAATTCTCAAGAGTGACCCTAAATAAAGACAATTCAGACTACGAGTAGTGCTTTCAACAAACGATTTAAATTCACGCTATTGCAAGAGGACTCCTTGCCATCACAGATTATATTTGCAAGAGACACAAGACATGTACATCCGAATGAAAAAGGCCACATAAAACAGAGGCTTTTCATTTCATCACTGTTCTCGCAAGAATGGCTTCGAATGGCTACCGGATGTCTTGATCACTCTCTGAACTACATATTGATCGCATGGTTTATGCATGATTTAACAGCACGTGTGCATTAAACTTGCAAACTTATCAATCATGGACTTCGGGCCATTGAATTTTTGTGGCAAAAAGTCTGGGCATTTTTTCTGTGCTAAGATTTTTTGGGAGAAATTTCCAAGCTCCCCACAAACAAAGATTTGGCATTTGTGGCACTTCCTTTTCCTTTATGCTACGATGACATTTCCGACGATTCTTCTGCGACACCTTGCACGTGCTCAGAAGTGAAAAATAAACTTGACGTCACACGATCTTAAAATATCGGGAAAAAAGACAAGTAAATACAAAAAAAGCTCCTGATGACCTGTGTGATCTTGGCTTGATAGGAGTCACATAATCAATGTACATGATATCTTTACCTTCTGAGGTGAAAGATTCTCACTGATGTACTTCAGTGTCAGGTCTCTTCCCATTTCTGTTTTATCATACAAGATGCCAACCTAAGAAAGTAAACAAAAGAAGATGAAAGGCATTCATCACTCTCTATTGCCTACTGGGAAGAAGCTATATATATTATAGCAGAGCTCCGGTGCCCCATTCTCATATAGGAAAGAAAAGGAAACCCATGAATTGGTTTTCTCATGGTTATCATGGCTAGCGGTATTGCTCGTGGGTCCATATTCAAAACGACGATGGTGATGGTGGTGGAGTCCTGCAAGATGGCGGCCATACTCCAGCCAATAGGTTGAGAGAGACATGCAGCCTTGGTTTGTAGCCTCCTCTGATATTGGACATCCCTGTTATAGTCAGTTGACAACTGTCAAAACAAAGTATCCGCTGACCAGTATCAAGTGACCATATCATGGGCTCAAGTTTAGAGCTCATCAAGGTCATGTGTTCTTTTTTTTAGTTAATCCCTGACCAAGTGCTGTTTTTTTGATTGGATTTCGGGCTGACGTGAGGTTAACCTGTTGTTAACAGGGACAGGTTGTTCGGAAGCCGGTTAACCCTAACCAAGGATTAAAAGTTCACCAAATTATAATATTTTCCTTGTATACAAATGTTTCTCATTGCTTTTGTTTAGTGTATTTTGGGATTATTCAAACTCAAAACAGAAGGCCAAACAATATACAGAAAACCTCACCGNATATTTTCCTTGTATACAAATGTTTCTCATTGCTTTTGTTTAGTGTATTTTGGGATTATTCAAACTCAAAACAGAAGGCCAAACAATATACAGAAAACCTCACCGCAAAGTTACAAAACTCATTTCAAAATTCTCGCTCATCCTGGGTTAGCTTAATCGGTCTCTTAACAACCCGGCCCACCAGCACCGCTTTTAGGCTTGGCTAAATCTCTATGTTATATAGTAAGCTATATTGAGGTGATTCCTCTGTATTGCATTGTGCATCCTCACTGTACAGAATGTTATGCACACTTAGCGTGCGCACATGACCAAATGGTGGCTTTCTAAATGGCTTGCCTTGCGAGGGACAAATCATCGTTTTCTTCTCCAAATGAGTAGTGGGAACTAACATTTTTTTCACTTAGTTTGAATGCAGCAATCACCTTTCTATACAGATATCATAGACCAATTTCTATTGCAGATTAGTATAAATCTACTAGCGTTCTATCACGAATACCGTTCTCTGATTGGCTACGCTACTCATTATCTATTCTGTGATAGATAGTGAGTAGCGTAGCAGTGTGCCCTTGTTAACAAAATGACGGCCGCTTCGTTGCATTTTCGAAGTGTCTGTGAGGAAGATTTAGATGAAGTTTTCAACGACTAGTAGATTTATGCTAAAACAATTAGATTATTCACTCTCAACGTAGAAACCAATCCCAGTCCGCGCGGCCATGCATAAATGGTTCGACCTTCCCGCGGGTTATGTAAATCGCAAAGTATTTCGCTCGAGTTCAAAAGTTATAACAACGTTACGTTCTTTATGCTGTTTCGATCGCCGTATTCCCAAATCGTCAGGTAACGTCCCCTTTCTTCGTTTGTCTCGTATTTCCTATCTTATTCGTATTTTCTATATCATTTCCATTGTTGTAATTAGTGGTTCCGCTCTTAATGTATTATGTTTGTTACCTTTATCCTAGAAACCACTGGCAATGACATGTGTAGTTACGTTAAGAGTTCAAGTTATCCACAATTTTATTAAACTTCTTTACGACCTAAATTATTGCTGGTGCGTTAGTTACACTCAATTTCTCTGCATGATAGTTGACTCGGGCTGCGCCCTCGACAAACATCACGTGATAGAAATCTCCACCTCATAATCTAATCGTTAAGTATAAAATTACCACTGACAATGCGAGAATATAGCTAGCACTCATACAAGATAATATGTGGCCTCAAGAACACCGCACGCTTGGAACATATTGAATCCCTGTTGACTAAATATGGGTGCCTTTATCATGAAAC